TTGACCACCGGGTGGCTTGCCTCGTGCTTCCCCACCCTTTCTGAAGGCCTCAGACGTTTCCAGAGACCCAGAACCCTATTGCAAGAACCTGCTTCCAGCCCCCGGCTGACTGACACGGGAGGCAGCTGGTGGGGTGCGGGTGAGAACCTGAGGGTCGCGGAGGGTCTCGCACCAGTGTGAGCAGTTTGCACTTCTGTCCTGAGGTAGTAGGGAGCCACATGGGATTTTTGAGCAGGGGCATGGTATGGTCACATCTGGGTCTCAGGAAAGTGACTTTGGTTTCAGTGTAAGGACCGATCTGAGCCAGAAGACATGTGAGGAGGCTGCTGTGGGCTTCGGGGCTGCACTGGTTGGCGGGGGGAGGCTGCAGCAGGCCCGGGCGGTGGGGGTGGAGCGGGGCGGTCAGGCTTGAAAGCCGTTTAGGGGGCGGTGCTGACAGAGACCCTGGGCTAGACTGTGAAGGTCTAGAGTGTTGAGCTCAGGAGGCTAGACCAGCAGGATGCTCCTGAAGCCCAGCTGTGGGCCCCAGGGCCATCTCCACAGGGCCTGTGCCCTGGGTGGGACTTGGCCTCTGCCGCTCTGTCACCATGCTTCCCGCCAGGCCCCCTTCTTCCCATCCCCTCCTTCCCTGGACTTTGAGAGCTATGACTCTCTCTACCCACCTTTCACGCACCTCAGGTCAGCAGAGGATGTGGTGAGGTGAGGAATGTTCCACTTGGTACCCTGGTCTGGCCCGTGCCGGAGAAGAGGAGGCTAGTTCCCACCTGAGGCTGGGTCCTCCTACTGGGTGAACGTTTACAAACGTTCACAGCGCTCACTTGACAACAGGACAACACCAGCACCGCTGAGTCCCTTGGGTGCCACTCCCCACCCCTGCGCCCAGGCTGCTGCAACCAGGAGAGCCTCCCGGGATAGAAGGAGGTGGCCATGGCTGGGACCCCAGGGACCACCGAGCCCCACCCCAGATGGACAGAGAGGGCGTGGAGGTCAGAGGAAGCCAAGGCCCTGTGGAATGATGAGACGAGACCGGCCTCTCAGGCCGAGGCTTTGCCCCGCCCCTTGCCACCAGCTGGGTGGTTCGGGCTGGCGCCAAGGCCCGTGTCCTCAGAGGACCTGAATTTTTAGTCCTGGCCTACAATGGCTCCCAGGTCTGAAGGGACTCTCGGGGGAAAGGCAAACAGTCTTGACCCCGAGAAGCCAGTGAGCCTGGAAGAATGACACCCTCTGGCCACTGCCTAGCCAAGGGGGAGGGTGCGGTCCCAGCCCCAGGGCAGAGGAGCTGCTGCCACTCCTGAGATCTCTGTTGTGGTGGGCACCAAGGAGGAGCTGGGGGGCAGGCAGTGGGCGGCCAGGCCCTTTCCCACTACCTCCGTCCCCCCAGGTGAGTGCGCCTCCTGGGGAAGAAGGACCCGGCCACGAGAAGGCGGAGAGTTTGTGATGTGAGTCTAGGAGTGCACCTGGCAAAGAACAGGGACAGTCTGAATGGCTCTTTCCTGCTTACAGGCCCTGGTGGCTCAGCGCAGCCCCAACCCCCACAGCCTGGGCCGGGCTCTGCTGAGCGGCTCTGGAGCCGGTCTGCTGGTGGTTCAGCACGGCTGCAAAGGAGGGCAAGGGCCACGGCTGTGGGCAGTGCGACGTGGGCCGGGGTGGGGTGGCGGCACCACGCAAGGCAGAGGTTCGGAGGCTGTCGTCTGGGGCTTGAGTCCTGGCTCCCTCACTCACTGACTGTGTACCTGCAAATGGCAGGTCATTTCTTCAGTAGAGTCTCTGTTTCCCACCTTATAATGAGTCTAGGGAGCTGCTGTGAGGATCCAACAGTGCTGTGTACAGTCAAGGGCTTCCCAGGCGCCAGGAATTCAGGAAGTTTAGGCAAGTTATCTTCTTCCCTTACCTGGGGACTGTGGCACTTTGGTGACTTCTGAAAGCTCGGCACATCTGGGCGACCATCCTCAGACTTGTGGCGCTGACTCTTGTAGAAGGTTTCACGGGCTCAGGACTTTTCCCTCAGTAGAATATTAATTTGCTAAGTGCTCAATGACCTCTCTCAACTCCAGCCATTGTATATTTGCTTCCCTCTGCTCGGCATGCCCTTTCCTCTCGATCTTCAGCCTCTGCCAGGAGCCTCCGTCCCTGCGTTGGGCGCCCCCTCGGGCTCTCCCTGCCTGACCGCAGCCCAAACCATACCGCACGGCACTGCTGCCTCCTTGTGTGTCTACCCCATGGGACTGAGGGCAGCCCCCATCTGGTTACCCAGGGCCTAACCCTGGGCTGGCTGAGAGCGGGGCATCGAGATGAATGCATGGGTGGGTGGGTGGGTGGGTAGGTAAGTGGGCAGGTGGAAGATTGGGTGGATGGTTTGGTGGATAGGTGGGTGGGTGGGCTGATGATAGGTAGATGGGTAGCTTCGGCCGTTGTGGGCTGTGCCCTGTGGAAACCCAGCACGGCTGCAGAAGCCACCCATGCCTGTGTTCTACAGCTTAGGGCTTGTGAGCAACTGTCAAGGACCGGGAACTGGTGTAATGAAGTTCCAGGATTTTCTCTACAGCTTCTGGGACCATATAGATGAGCTTTTAAGGGCTCGGCAGGGATTTCTTGGGGCTTGGCCTCCCAGCCTGTTGAGTCAGTTGTGCCCATTAGAGGAAACGTCAGTCAGCTCAGAGAACCAGCCCAGGTGCTTGTGGCCTATCTGAATTGTCCGCTATGTGCTAAGTCAGTTATCTGATGGGACCAAGGAAGCAAGCTGGCCAACTGGACAGGACCCTCCCCAGAGTGGTTTTCCTTGGTGGGCTCCCTACAGTGTGTAGCTGGGCCTCTGCTTTGCCGATGGAGAACCGTGACTGGAACCTCTGCCAGGAGTGGCTCCTTCCTGTGGGATGACCATGAACTGATCCAGCTCCTGGCGGCTGCTGGTAAAACAGCTTCTGGCTCAGGAACTCAGCGAGAACGCTCTCGCTGGCTGGGGCTCACTTCCTTTGCTCCTTGGGGAGCAGCCAGGGCCTCCGGGGAGCTGGTGAGTGTTCCCAGGACTCAGCGAGCCCGTCGTGCCGCGTCTGCAGCACGAACTCCTGTGGGGCTGCAGTGCCTGGGCACGGGTGCCTCTGCCCTCTGGGGACCCGCCTGGGCCCAGCCTCCTCCTTGCTCTGACAAGCACCCCTTTAGCCATCCCTTTGGTCCCGGCATGCCTCCAACTGTGCCAGACATAGTACAAGGAACTTCAGGTGCCTGAGTGATCCTTTCCCCATTTTAAAGAAGGGAAGGCGAGGTCCTGAGAAGTGGAATATGCTCAATTTTACGTAGCTTCTAAGTGAAGGAGGAGGGACTTATTGAGGAGCTTTATTCACCTCCTCTGCGGTGACTTTGCACATCGCTGACTTCATCTCTGGTGTGGTGATGTTACAATTTAGCACAGAAACCATTTATTGGCATTTCAGCAGATCTCTGCTCTCTCAGGGGTCAAGCAATGGCTGTTTGGCTTGTATCCCATGGCTGCGGAATGGCTGCCATTGGATTTCTTACTGTTTCCCGGGAAGGGAAACCACAGCCACGGTCCTAAAGGCTGCGGGCCGGCGAGGTGGGTGCCCGTGGGTGGCCTGGAGCCCCGAGCCTTGCAGGGCTGGTGGATCTGTAGGGGTGAGGCAGCACTTGTAGCCTCAGGTCCTATCGGGCAGTGACACCAAGGATGAAAGCCTGGCTACCTTCCTCGGTCCTGGGCAGAGCGCTGACCCCGAAGCCCCCTGGGCCACAGGCTGCCCTGCCCACGCTGCCTCCCTCATCCGCTAGCGGGTGGGGGTTGGAGCCCCTGGGGCCTGCCCTCTTTGAACCAAAGTCGGTCACCTGTGCTTCTCACAGAAGCGCTCCAGCGCCTCCCCAGGGCATCCTCCATGTCCCGTGTGAGCCCCCTGCGTCCTCTGGCACTGCAGTGAGTTGAGTGTGGCACCCTGACCACCATAGGCACCATCCCAAGAGACACTGGTTACCCCAGGGGCACATAGGCACTTTTCCAGGCCCTTTCTTTCTGAGCCTTGGACCCTTTCCCCTCCATTGGCTCAACGCCTGCCCCTCTCTGCCATTAGCTGGACGTTAGCTGATGGGATCCCAGGGAGGGCAGCGCGGGCGAGAACGGCCGTGCCGGCTGGCGCCTGGCCTGTGGTGGGCCAGAACCACACTGCACGGCGGCGAACAGTCTGGGACCAGCAGAGCAGCGACGGGGCCCCACCCCCGCGGCTAACGGGAGCTCTGCGCTTCCTCAGAAAGTGGGCGCCTGCCAGCATCACCTCAGGCCCTGGTCCATCTTTGGATCCAACTTTTCTTCAAGAGGAGTCCGTGGTGGGTCAGGATGTGGGCCTGGGGGGACCCTGGGTGTCACCCACAAGCCCCTGGCAGGTAGGCCCTTGCCCTCACACCATGAGGGCTGGAGGTGTCTGTCAGGGCTGCTCTGTGGGCTCCGGCCTCTTGCCTCCTCTGTCTTCCTTGGGCCCGGGCTGCGGGGCAGGAGCTCTGAAATGGAGTGGGAGGAGCCTGCGCCCCTCCCCCGCTCAGTCTGGGCACAGTGCCTGGCAGGCCCAGGCCATCTGTCCTCTCCGTGCCCCAGGAGCAGAGGTAAGCACAGAGCTGCGACCACACAGCAGAGGCAGGGCACGGGGCCTTGCGCTCAGGCAGCAGCACTGCCTCTAGAGCTGCCAGCGCCCCTGGAGGATAGGGAAGCAGCTGTCCACCACGGCCCTGGGCCTGCACACATGGTTCTCAGAACTAGCTGGATGGCGGGCTGTCAGGTGGGACCGCTAAGGGCCCTGGGCTGTCACCTTCCAGACGGCCTGCTTCGGGGGTGCACTGCGGTGTAACAGGAGACCACACACCCCGCTAGTCCAGCACCTGACCTGCGGTGTGGTTGGCCAAGGGCACTGTGTCATATGATCCAAGACAGGTGGGAGGGCACACCCAGGACCCTTCCCTCACCTGCCAGCAGGTCTCCTCCCTCACCTGCCTCTTGTTTCCTGCAGAGTTCATTCTCTCGCTTCTGGAGAAGATGCAGACACAGGAGATTCTGAGGATGCTGCGGCTGCCCGAGCTGGGCGACTTGGGTCAGTTCTTCCGCAGTCTTTCCGCCACCACCCTCATGAGTATGGGTGCGCTGGCCGCCATCCTCGCCTACTGGTTCACTCACCGGCCAAAGGCCTTGCGGCCTCCGTGCAACCTCCTGATGCAGTCAGAGGAAGTGGAGGTGAGTGGGGTTCGAGCAGTGGAGCTACGGGAAGCAGTGGGCAGATGACAGTCATTACGAATGTAGAAGCCAGAATTGTGGCTTCTTTGACCTGAGACGGCCCAGAGAGCCTTAGTTTCCCCTGGACGCCGACCAGCAAGCCCCATTGGCCTTGGGTAGCATCTCCTACCAGATGCTCCTTCTGCCTCTCCCAGCAGCTGAGCCCTGGGCAGAGCCTGACCTGGGCCTTGATCTGGGCTTGCAGTTTGCCTACGTCTTGGGTGGGGGCATTAGCTCACTGGTGCCTCAGCAGGAGGCCTGAGCAGGTTCTCAAGGGACTGCTGGGTCAATTCCTTCCAGACTCGCCCTCTGCCCAGCCCTGGTCTTCTGCTGGGACCCAGAGCTGAACCCACCCCAGCGACTACCCTCCCGGGGCACACGACAGGAGGGAGGCGCAGTGGCCCAGCCTGGACAAGGGTGTTCTGAGCTAAGTCTAGAAGGGCTAGTGACACTTATTTTTCTATTAAGCTTATGGAACTTATTTTGCCATTTAAAAACTGTCTTTTCCTGAACTGAAATTCTGTTCATTTTGAATAGATAAGATATTCACCCAGTGTCAGAGGAACAAAGGGACACACACGGGGGAGCTGCCACCGCCTTCCTCTCGCCTCCCAGCTCTGCCCCCCTGAGAACTGTGTCAATGATTGTCCCTGAGCAAATGTGTAGATCTCCACTCCCCTTTTAACAGTATCTGCTGTGTACACCATGCAGCACCTCGCTTTTTGCTCTTGATGGTGCATCTTGCTGAGCATAAACATGAATTTTGCCAGGCAGGAGAGGGTGCAGGTGGAGATAGGGCTGGTCCCTCAGGCCATTTTCCATCAGAGAACGACACGTGCCCAAGTACAGGCGTGTCCTGAGGCACCTGGTGGCTTTGGCAAGTGGTGATTTGTGTGGGGAGGTTGTGTGGTGCAGAGGGACTGCAGAGCGGTGACGAGAATGGCCTTTGGTGACCCCGGGTTAGTGGCTGACTGTGCCTCCTACTGGCATATGGTCCTTGGCAGTTTCTTAACTCTCTGAGCTTCGGTTTCCTCAACAGTCAAGAGAGTGATGACAAGAGCACTGCTTCCTAGGGCTGCGGCAGGGTTCGCTGAGGTGACACAGAGAGCTCTAAACCCGTCGTTTGGGTGAGCTCATAATGGCAACTTGCCCGGAGAGGTCGGCGAGGCCAGAGTCACAGGACCTGCGCAGGGGTGGGCAGCATGGATTTCTGTGGGGTCTTCAGGAGTAGGGACAGAGCCAGTTTGTGCTGTAGGAGGGTGGCTGTGGCGGGACAGGGGTGAGGAGGCAACGGGGGTGCCTGGGCTGGAGGTGACAGTGATCTGGATAAGGCCTGTGTGGGAGTGGCCCTGGTCCAGTGTGTGGGGGCCCGAGAGTCACCTTGTGGGTCTGGCTGCGAGGACAGGCCATGGACACAGCTGAGGCCTCCCTTCCTGGGAAGACTGAGCCCTGCCTCGCCCCTGGGGCACAGGACGCCAGAGCGGCAGCAGCGGAGCAGGCAGAGGAGAGAGTAGGAAATGAGGGAAGAGGGGCCCCGGCCACGCGGGGCCTGGTGGCACTCACTGTGTGCGCCCTGAGAAACATGACTCGGATCAGGTCACGCACCCCAGCTTAGAATCCTCCCCTGGTTCCCGTCGCACTCAACCCTAAGGCCAGACCCCTTGCCTGGACCTGCGGGCTCTCTGGCCTCCTCGGTTTACCGCCTGGCGCTCCACACGTGGCCCTCAGTTTCCTGAGTGCACCGGTGTCTCCTGCCTGTGCTCTTGCACTTGTCCTGGTTCCAGCGAGACTGCCGTTACCTCCTCCTCCTCCTGCCTCCTGTGCATCCTTCCAAACCCAGCCCGGCACCACTCCCTGGCGCACACGTGACTTGAACTCCTTTGCTCCTGGCATGCCGTCTCTTGCTCTGTCATTTCTGTCACCCTGAACACTATCCAGGTCTGACGGTATATGTACATGGGCCTGGGGCTCAGGGAGCACTCACTGGCCAAACAGTTGCAAAAGTTTATGCAAGGTTGCAAACTTTGCATAAACAGTTGAGAGCCGCCTGTGGTTTTCAGCCTGGCTGTCTGATGGCTCACACCGACGTTTTTCCTCAGAACTGGTGTTTCAAGAGATGGCAGGTCGAGGGCCAGCCCAGTGCAGCCTGAATCGTGCTCAGAGAAGAGGTCGAGCCGTGGTTCCGGAGCGTCCTGGGCCTGGGGCTGCCTGAGGAGGGGTGGCATGGTGACGGGGAAGGAGGCCCAGGACGCCCAGCTCCTCTCCCTCCCTCACGGCATCGGGGGCGTTTGCTGCCTTCCCACTCCGGACCCACACCACCGAGGGCCCGGGAGCCGGTGCCCTGCTGCCCCCATGGCCTTCGAGGCCCCACTGTTCCTGGGAAAGAACCTCCAGCTAGTCCTCAGACTCCTCACTGTCATGTGAATGATGGATGGCACCCAAATGATTCTTAACCTAGGGTCATAGGAGCAGCAGATGATGGCATGAGGGGGCCAGCTTGGCAGGTTGATCACGAAGCCAGGGGCAGCCTAACTCCAGCCAACACTCTCCACTCCATTGTATGTGTGACCTGTGTCGGTGGTATGAACAGCCAATGAAATTCTGGCCATTTTGTATATGCTGACGTGGTGCGTGGGTGCTGTGTGTGTGTGGGAGGCCGGTGTACTGGGCCTGTGTGCACGAGCCAGCTGTGTGTGTGGAGGCACACAGTCAAGTGTGTACAAGCCACATGTATGTGAACCTGTGTACAGGTCATGTGTGTACAGGCCGTGTGTGAGTGCACAGAGCAGGTCCCGGCCCCACGGGGGTGTGTATCCGAGTGGCGTGCAGCGCGGTGCGTGCGGTGCCCTCCTGCGACAGCCCTGCCTGCCTCAGCCAGCTCCTTGGCCTGTGCTTGGCCTGCAGGACAGCGGGGGGGCCCGGCGGTCCGTGATTGGGGATGGCCCTCAGCTGCTCGCCCACTACTACGACGATGCCAGGACCATGTATGAGGTGTTCCGTCGCGGGCTCAGCATCTCAGGTGACAGGGACGGTGAGGGTGTGGAGGGGCGGTGGCCGGGGTTGAGCAGGTTCAAGGGTAGGGGTGAGCCAGTGTGGTACCAGGGGCGTGGCACGTGAATGGTGCCCAGGTGAGGAGGAGAGGAGACACTCGGGGCCTCCCTGCACCCAGTCAGAGAGGTAGCTGCACTATGTGGCCAGAAGCCTGGCCTCGGCAGTGTTCTGTCTCTGGGACTAACTGGCCTTAAGCCATCTCTTAGCCCAGACCCTGTATCTCCGATGGGCCGCCCCTGGTGGGACTTGAACCACCAGGCCACTGGCTGGCATTGTTCTGACCCCTGAGCCCCTGAGATGCCTGTGTGACCCGGGGTATGAGGCAAAGGCAGGTGGGTGCAGGGAGGCAGCCTGCTACCCCTGTCCAGTGGCCCCAGGTCTCTGTTCTCTCAGGGCTGCATCACGCAGGCCACAGGCGGAACCCGCACTGCGTGAGCCCCTGTTCCGGGACCTCCCGGGCCCCTGGGCCGATGCCCTGCTTGTGTGCTTTAGGCCTTCCGGGGCCTCGGCAGGTCAGACAGGCAGCTGGGGGCGGGGCAGTGCCCTCGGCCCATGGACCACCCCGCGGCATATGGTGTCCATCAGGCGTCTGCCAGCGCCCCCACCCTGCCCTCCTCCCTTGCACAAGGCCTGCTTATCTCTCTGCAGGGAATGGCCCGTGTCTTGGCTTCAGGAAGCCCAAGCAGCCTTATCAGTGGCTGTCCTACCAGGAGGTGAGCGACAGAGGACAGGCTCCACTCTGCCCGCCCGTGCAGGCCTGGCACTTGGGGAGCGGGTGGGCATCCTGCTGTTTCTCGGGGTCCTATCGGCCTCGCCTGGCCTGCCTGCCAAACTGCCGGCAGCAGCCTCACCGGGCTGCCAGACCCCTGGGTGGGGCGTCGGGCCGCCTCAGACCTGCGGGAGTGCCCCCGGGGTGCCCCTCCCCTGCAGAAGACTCCTTCCTTCCCCATCACTTTCCCACGTCCCCATGCAGGTGGCCGACAGGGCTGAATTTCTAGGGTCCGGACTTCTCCAGCACAACTGCAAAGCATGTACGGACCAGTTTATTGGCGTTTTTGCACAAAATCGACCAGAGGTGAGCACCTGCTGTGACTGGTTTTAGAAATATTAGTGGAGTGGGGGGCAGGCTCCCGCTGGGCCTGGGACAAGGGGAAAAACAGAGACCCTTGGTCCATGCCACAGCCTCCTGCTCCCGGGGCTTTGGCCCTAATTGGGATTGTACATCCCAACCCAGCTCCCTCCACCCCCCAACCCACCCAGCCCAACACACAGTGCCTCCCTGAGCTGGGGGAGGGGAGGACCTGGGGAAGAAGCCCATGCTGGCCCTGGATGTTGGCATGGGGCTGTTTAGAGTCCCAGAATTCCCTGGGGCCAGCATGGTGTAGGGGGCGTGAGCAGGCACACGCCATCAGCCTCACGGATTCCTTGCCGCACTTGGAGGGCCAGACCGAGCCCTGTCGTCACAGAACCTAGAGCAAGGATCTGGTGGCCTGGGCCTCAGGGCAATGCAGCCCCGCCACCTGCTGTGTTCCCCCACCCCGACCCGCGTGTCTCCACAGTGGATCATCGCGGAGCTTGCCTGCTACACGTATTCTATGGTGGTGGTCCCACTCTATGACACCCTGGGCCCTGGGGCCATCCGCTACATCATCAACACAGGTGAGCTTGCCCCTGCCACTGGCAGCGAGCCCCCGCCCCCCACGGCCTCTCAGGGTGTGCCAGTTGCCTCACACTAATCGGAAGCACTTTGCTTCTGCTCTCAGAGAATACTGGGGGCTTCCGCTCTGGCCCCTGCATTGGCTTCCTGAGTCACCACAAGGCTCCTTGCACAGGCCTGGCTACCAAGAAGGGGTCTCTGCACCTGCCCCCACACGGGCTGCCCACCCACCCTCTATGGGTCACTGCAGCTTGGGGCAGGTGCCGGCGGTGGTGACTGTCTCAGCCGACCAGGGACAATAGGGGTTGAGCCCACAGCACAGGGTGCCTGGAAACCTTTCCAGGAGAGGCAGTGGCCTCCTGCCTTTGGGGTTTCCAGCCTCCATGCACTCTGCTCTGTACGCAGCACCTAACCCGGCTGCCTGTCTTACCTGCTGACTTCCACACCAGCTGTGGCACACACAGCCATGGTTCTGCTGCCTGGCGTGTGCTGCCTGCAGCCACTGCCTGACTTTCTGACGGTCCCTGCAGCTGACATCAGCACCGTGATTGTGGACAAGCCTCAGAAGGCCCAGCTTCTGCTGGAGCACGTGGAGAGGAAGGAGACTCCAGGACTCAAGCTGATTATCCTCATGGAGCCATTCGAGGAAGCTCTGAAGGACAGAGGGCAGGAGTGTGGGGTGGTCCTGAAGTCCATGCAGGCTGTGGAGGTGAGGGGCTGCTTCTGCCTGGGTGGTCTGCCGGGCCGCAGCTGGCTAGCCGCCACGCTGGGGCTGCCGCTTCTCTGCCCCTCGTGCCCTCGGATGGGTGTCATGGGCTGTCAGGCCCCATGAGGGTTGAGACAGAGCAGGCTTCACAGGGCTGGTGGTGGGTAACAGGCTCAGTTGGCTGGCACAGTCCGGCCAGGGTGCGTGGTGGCCCCTGGTTGCCCCAGAGCTGCTCTCGCAGCCTCATTTCCAGTGGCAGCAGCCGGTCTGAGCCTGAGGAGGGAGACACGAAGCCTAGGCGTCATGGAGACGTTCTTGCAAATGTGTCCCAGACCCCAGCAGCCAGCAGAACTGATTTTTCTGTGCATGGCCTCCCCAAAGATGTCAGCTTGGCGGCAGCTGGTGACCTGCTGGAGTAACACAGGACATTCTGGCCTCCAGGGCCTCAGGCCCTGCTCAGTACCAGCTGACCCCACTTCTGCCTTATGGGATCTAGGCCCCTGGGCCCTCCAGTCCCCTCCTGCCTCCCGATCTGCTCCTAACTGCACGTACAACTCCGGTGCGCTTGCACCTGCCACGGCTTTCGGGGACACAGCCATGCGAGTGGCTTCTCTGCCCCTCCAGCCCTAATCTGGAAGCCCAGGCCATCCGGCCACTCTGTCCCAAGCACATGTGCAGATGTACCACAGCACCTCGGGCTGCCTCCCCCACGGTGCGTGTGCACAGTGCCTGGCCTCTCCCTGGGCCCCAGGCTCCGGCCTCAGCGTGGGCGGTGGCCTCGGCCTGGATGTGTGTCTGAGGAGAGGCCACTGCGGTGGTGTCTCCGCGTGGACCACGTCTGGGCAGAGAACCCTGCACTCTGGGCCTGGCGCAGGAACAGGGCACACGATGCAGAGTTTATTTCAATTTTTTTTTAATTAATAAGAACTTTTGAGGACTTAAAATCAGTATTTTCTTCTTCTAGGACTGTGGCCAAGAGAATCATCACGTCCCAGTGGTAAGGTCGCCCACCAGCAGGTCTTTGTTGAGATGGGCGGCGTGAGGATGCGTCCTTACGGAGCCCTCACTCTGTGTGGGGCTCAGCGGACAGGCCAGAGCAGCACCCCCATGCCAATAAGCAGCTCCTCTGAGCGACACAGGAAATGCCCACGCGGGTGTCCAGGCTTCTGTGGGTGAGGGTCTCAAGAGGGACCTGGAGCAGGAATCAATGCAGCAGACTCCCCAGAGGAGGGGGTGGACAGAAACAGCAACAGAGCCAACAGGGAACCTCAGGCCTTGAGGCCCGGTGGCGTCTGCCTGCTTTGTTCATCTTTTCTGTCTCACCCCCAGTGACACTGCCTAGGGCCAAGTCACCGGTGACGCTTGCTGCTCCCCGGGAGGGACCATTTGGGGGTGTTTGGCTTTCTAACAGGGCCTCTTGCCTCCAGCCCTCCCCCAGCTTGGCCCTCCCACCCCCATGAGCTTTCTCATACACAGGCCTAAACAGGGCCCCTCACGGGGAGCCCGGGGTGTGTACCCGCCTTGCACGCACCATGCCCCAGCCTTAGAGGACTGCTCTCCGACACCCAGCACGCCCTGGCCTTTGTTCGGGCTAGTTCCTTACTCTCATTTCATCTCGCTTGTCCTTCATTCTCAAATCATGTCACTTCCTCTGGGGAGCCATCCTTCATGGGCAAGCAGTCGTGGTGGGCTCCTTCTGGTGACCCCACAGCTCTACGCCCAGTGCCAGGGCACGGGCCTGATGCAGAGCCGTCTCAGTGACACAGCAGGCGGCTCAGTTCCTTGGGCTACATGTTCTGTCCCTGAGCCTGACCGCAGGCCTGGGGAGAACATGGGCAGGAAGGAGGGAACTGGGTCACACTCGCTACAAAGGGCAGATCTTTGGTTGAGGCCCAGATGTGGCCACGGCAGCCCCATCCCACCTGGAATTCAGCTCAGACCCGAGGGGTAGAAGGGAGGCGGTGGACCAGGCGTGAGGTCGATGGCACGGGGGGATGTCTGTGCTCTCATTAGGGTTCCTCAGCTTCTTTCCTCCTGTCCTGGGGCCTTGCCTTTCCACCTCCCGGACTGCAGCCCACAGGCGCACACGGGTGCCGACACAGCCCACACGGGGCAGTGCACAGAAGGGCTGGTTGGTGGAGGGGCCCATGGGCCTTACGCCCTGGTTGCCCCGCCAGGCCTCTGACACACACCTCTTCTCACCTCTGCAGCCCCCTCAGCCCAGTGACCTCTCCATTGTGTGTTTTACAAGCGGCACCACAGGTAAGTAGAGGCACCCAGGTCACCAGCCAGGCCCACCTGTGCCCTTCCCTGGCAACCTGCTCAGGGTGACTGCGGGGTTCTCCAGTGCCTTCTGGGATGGGCGGAGCCTTGTCCTGTGCCTGACTCCAGATGTTGGGTCCCTCCCGGTACCCCCAGTGCTCAGCGCAGTGCAGCACAGGGTGGCTGGACGCGGGGGGACAGGTGTAGGCTGGGAGGTCCCGGGCGGGGGCTGGGCCACAGGGCCGCGCCATGCCTCCAGGAGAAGCAGCTCCCACCCCTCTCAGCTTCCAGCCCCTGCCTGGGCTTCCTGTCAGGGGCCGTGGAAGGAGTGTGGGGGGTGGTGTCTGAGAGCCGTCTTCCCGGGGGCCACAGGCCAGTCACTGAACCCTCCTGCCACCACTGTCCCCGATTTCTCATCTGTGATGAGGCTGGTTAGAGGCACCCAGTAGAAGATGGGAAGGTGCATGGAAGGGCAGGGCAGGTGCGCTGCGGGCTGAGCTGGTGCGCACGGTCAAGGCTGTCAGGATGAGGACAAGCAGGAGTGATGCATGGCGTGCCTGCTGCCAACAGGGGCACACGTCCTGGTGCTTTCCTGGGGGAGGCCAGGTGTGCACACGAGGACCATGGCCACAGGCACAGCGCCTCGCAGCCTGCAGTGCCCCGTTCACCCTCTCACGGCGCCACTGGGGCTTCACTGTGGCCTGGGAGGTGAGCGGGGTGGGGACTGTCCCAGCAGACACCACCAGCAAATGGAGGCGTTGGACTCGTGCCCTGGTCTGCCAGCTGCCAGCTCAAGGCTCTTCCCCTGGCTGCCTCTCCCTCATCTGACGACTTGGGAAGTCACTTGTCCTGCCCTGAATGGGCAAGAAGTTTCCAGCGATCTTTCTCCAGGGTGAAGACTGGCCCACCTTGATGATAGCTCTCGGTGGGCAGCGAACTGGGGCTTCCCACGCCTTCTACAGACACAGCCTCGAAGGCGTCTGGCAGACCCTTGACCAGCCCCGCAGGCAGAACTGTCCACGTGGGTGGATCGTGATCCACTTGACTTTATTGACTTGAGATGGATTTTTGCCATGAACTCAAGCGGCTCTGAGAATTTCCAACACACTGCTAACCCTGTTAGAGAAAAGCTGACACAGCCCTCGCTCTCCAGCAGCTGACACCAGAGCCCACCCAGAGTTCAAAAATGCTCTTCGGGTTTATGTCGCTTTGTGTCACAAATTTCACAATGTAAAATTGTGATGTGTCTCTGCCCTGGGTTGAGGAGCAGGTCACTGTGGTGGCTTTTAGCTTTGGACCTTTGCCACCCCAGAGCACCCTCGGGCTTTTAACAGGTCACTTGGTCACAGATGGTGACCCCGTATTGGGAAAAGGACTTAGGATGCGTGCCCACATGGAGAGGGCAGGCCGCACACCCAGCGCTTTCCTGGATGCTGAGCCCTCCTGCTCAGGCTACGTCTCAGTGCGGGGGCAGGGTGGGATGTGCGAGTGGCAGGCACGGAGCCTGAGAGCAGGTGGCGGTTGGTGCCAGGCCTCCCCCTGCAGAGGTGCGGCTGGTGCCAGGGCAGAGCTGGGCAGTGAGCAGGCCTCCAGCTGATGTCACCCTGCCTGGCGGCACACTTGCATTTCCTTGGCGTCACTCTAAGCCTGTGCTGCGCCTCTGGTCGTCATCGTCTCGCCGAGCACATGAGCCATGCGTGTCCTTGGCATCACAGCCCGGGACATAGTTTCCCTTCCCTGCTGTGTCCCATCTCCCAGCTTCGTCAAGAGCTACGTTGGTCTTTCAGTGGAGAAAGGTGGGAAAGATGGTCTGACCCTGACGTGTAGCTTAGGATTCTGGGAAGATTTTCTCCTTGGCCATGATGGGGCTTGGTTCAGAGTCACAAGTATCAGTTCAAAGTGAATCCATCTGCCTCACTGGGTCTTCCGCCCTTCCAGCTGGGCTGGCTGCAGGCGTGGTCCACCCTTCCTCTCTGGTCTGTCTTCCTTCATCTTCTTTTTTTTTTTTCTTAAATCTTCACTAAGGGTATATATATTTATTGATTTTAGAGAGAGAGAGGAAGGGAGGAAGTGAGAGAAGGAGAAACTGACTGAGAGAGAAACATCGATCAGTTGCCTCCCAGGGATTGAACCTGCAACCTAGGCATGTGCCCTGACTGGGATTCAAACCCACAACCTTTGGGTGTACAGGACAATGCTCCACCAACTGAGTCACCCAGCCAGGGCCTCTCTGGTGTCCTCCTCCCTTGCTACTGAAGGCCCCTACCTTCTCCCACCAGATGTACATGGGGAGGGAGAATAAGTGAGAAAGGGAAGCTGGGAGATGGTTTGGGGCAGACGGTTAACACTCTGTCTCTGTTCCATGGTTGCTTGCTGACTTAGTGTGAAATTCTCCATCTTTGTTCACTCAACCCTTTGATTACTGCTTTCTCGGTGAGGGTTGCCAAGCTACCTTATTGGTTTACTTGATATTTTGGGGGTAAATTCTGCACGTGGCCTGGCCCATCTCTTTTGGAGTTTTACAGTTGTTGTATCTGCTGAGTTGGTGGAAACTTCTAATTTAACATCTTTTGTGTATGGATTATGTCCTTAGAGCATATAGAAGGCCTATGAGGTGGGTACCTGCCCCCATTTTGCAGGTAAGGAAAGTGAGGGGAACAGCCTGCTGGCAGCAAGAGGCAAGGCCAGGATTTGAGCCCAGTCACATCCGCGTGGCAGCACAACACAGCTGCCCTGGGTCCCCACCAGGCCTCTGCTCCTCTGAGCCATCCTGGCAGCCCCGGGCGTCCTCACAAGCAGTAATGAAAGGTCATGTCATGACAAAGCAGGACCATCCATGTCCCCTCCCTGCAATGAGCAGGCAGGAGGGACTGCTTCAGCCCCCCAGACCTCCCTCCCGGCCTGAGCTGGGCTTTCCCCAGCAGAGGATGCAACAAGGAAGTCTCCCGCCAGCAGAGTTGACTGCTGGTTTTAGGGGGCAGTGCAGGGCACTGGGTGTCTGTGAGGAGGCCTGAGGGAGGCAGGAGAGGGTGAGGCCACGAGTCGCCAGTCCCTTGCGGCGCCCCACCTGAGCAATGGCGTCCCTTGCCTTCTTGTCCTAGGCTGCTGGGAGCCTCCAGATGGGCTTCAAGTGTCTATGGGATAAAGGTCCCTGAAGCAGCACTCACCTGCCTTGGCCTGTGGCTGTGGACTCAGGCCAGAGACTTGGGTGGGCAGCACGGGTGCGGTGCACTGCGGACTCGGGCGCTGCTCCTAAAGGAGCGTGGCCCTTGAGCTTCCAACCAATTTGCCCTCTTGCCTTCTCTTTCAGGGAACCCGAAGGGTGCGATGCTAACTCATGGGAACGTGGTAGCTGACTTCTCGGGCTTTCTGAAAGTGACAGAGGTGAATAAAGTAGACTCATTAATGCAGGTGTCTCTTGACATCCTCAAACCTCAGGTTGTTTTGTGTTTGTTTTCTTTTTTTCCTCCCTGATAACCAGGCTGCCTTTCCTAGGCAGGAGTTTCTATTCTCATGAGAGCAACCCCCACTTTTATAGACGCTTTTAATCCCAAACACTGAAATGATCTTCTAGTTGATTTCTAACAGTGCTAAGTTCCCAGAAGGGAAAAAAACATGTAAATGTTTTTTGTATTTTGAACTTTAAAAACTGGTATACCTGTGGTTTGTGTACGCCTTTATTTAGAAAAGAATCTTTAGTAAGTTGTTTTTCAAGTAGGTCAGGGTTTAATTCAGTCATTTGCTAGAGTCTGAAAAACAACAGTAACTGCTAATATGTAATACTGTGCTTAAAAAGGTAAATCTAAAAGTAAAAGGCCTGACAAAAACATGTTAGCATTTTATAACTGGCCAAGAAAGAAGGACTTTTTTTCCACACGTGGTGAGTATCTAAATATCCTACAGTTTCCTTAAAGAGCAAGGGACGAGACTTTTCACGTAAGGGAGGCCTTTCCACGGCATGTGGCGTCACGGAGTGCACCCCCAGACATTCTGTGCACTGGCAGAGCCCTGATCAGAAGTCATGAGCCAGGTCCCGCATCTTGTCCAAAGTTGTCCAAAAACCAGCCCAGGAGAAGTCAGCTGTCCACAGAAGGACAGGGAGCAGGGAAGTCCAGCCAAGGAAAGCTCCCGGAGGCACGGCCCAGCCCCGTCCCTGAGCTCAGTCCCTCTGTGAGACGCGGGCTCGGGGACACGGCGGCACTCCCTCCCAGCCTTCCCCTTTAAGGCCCTGTCTCTAGGCCGTGGGTAGCCAGAGGCCGACTCAGCTGTCTTTGGCTTGGCATTGTCTCCTCTGTCCAGGGCATGCACCCAGCCACAGCTGGTACAGGTCTAGGGTTTTCTGGGCCCCTTTTTTGGAAGGACTAGAAAGTGCTGACAAGCTGAGACCTGTGAAAGCTGCCCAGGTGGCCCCGGGAGACTGGTGAGATGGGGCCTGGGCAGATCCTGCAGCAGGGAGGGCGGGGGAGGGGCTGTCCGGCGCCGACCAACTGCAAGTGAGGTGCGGGCCCTTCCCCAAAGGAGACTTCGCTGCGGAGCTGCGCTCTGCTGGTTTATGTGTGCTTCATTTGGCTCTTTGCTTCTGCAGATAACTAGACCCGCTGGCGCTGCGACCTAACACTCCGCTTCCATGCTGCCCTGTCTCTCTCTCTCTCTCTCCATCGCTTTTTCTCTTTCCCTCACTGCTCTCTCCCTCTCTTTTTCACTTTGCCTTTTCTCTCTCATTCTCTCTCTCATCTTCCACTCATTTTTTCCTCTCATCTCACCTCTCTCTGTGCCCCCCGTCCCCCTCCCCCTCTTCCTGTTTGCCCCTCCAGGACCATTTTCTCTTTATTGTTTTATGACTTTCTTGTTGTCTTCCTGTCAGTGTTTCTTTCCTTTCTGTCTCCCATGCCCGTCACCTGCAGAAAGTGATCTTTCCGAGACAGGACGATGTGCTCATCTCCTTCCTGCCTCTGGCTCACATGTTTGAGAGAGTGATCCAGGTAAGACGCCCACCTGACTGACCGGGCCTTGCCTGGGCTCCTTCTCTTTTCTTGCAGAGTCAGTGGGCTCCCACTTGTGCGGATGTGCACATTTCCTATTTGCCTTTAGCACACATGTTTGAGCGAATGGTGCAGGTAAGGCCCTGGCTTCAGGGAGGCACAATCTGTGCCCAGAACCCAGAACCCTAGCAGGGTGTCACTTGTCACTGGTGCCAGGAAGTAGAACTAAAGTGCCCTGTCCTCAGAACGTACCACAGGGGTCTGAGGGGTCAGAGGACCTTGGCCAACCCACCTGTCCCTCCTGGGAGCGTGGCTCCAGCGAAGACCCCAGGCCCGCCCTGCCTTACTGCGGACTCACCTGGGCCGAGAGAAGCTCCAGCTGGCGGCATCGGCGCGGGGGGCATCGCGGCCTGGCAGAAGTGCTTACCGCCCAAGCTCTCTGCAGTGTGACTCCGCTTATGGCCAAAACACTTACATTCGATAACTTCCATTGCTCGTGAACTCCTCAAAAGGAGAACAAGACAGTAAATTTGGGCAGTGAGCTGTCACAACCCCTAAGGCTATACATAGATGGACTGGCGTTTTAACTGGCTCTGAGACAGGCCTGAGGGGGCGCAGATGGAGTGGGGGCGCCTGCGTGATACTGTGGGAACAAAGAAGTTTCCATCCGTGTGTCTCTGGAGGGGCCAGCCTGTGAATCAGTTGTCTCCTAAGCCTCTCCCCTCTTGCCTTGGGGGAGATGTGGCATATCAGGTAACGCTGCCCAGCTTTCCAGACCTAGATTAGAATGTCGTCAACACCGTGAACTAGTTTTGTGACTGGGCAGGTCCCTTCACCTGTCTGAGCATTGCATTCCTCACCCATAAAATGGAGACGTAGAGTGCTGCCCCGCTTGTAGGGCGGCTGTGAGCATTAAAGGCGGGCGCATGCATTAGGCCCCAGGTCCCTGCTAGGCCATTAGCAGCAGCAGGCTCGTCCCGGCCTCCCACCCAACGTTAGCCGCAGGTCCGGTACCATGGGCACTGCACACCCTCCAGAGTTGCCGAGGTGTCCCGGGGGGTCCACAGGCTCTTGGAGACCTGCCGCAGACCCACTCCTAGGCTGAAGTGCAGCTCAGAGACTGGAGTCCCCAGGGAGGCTCCTGTCCGGGGTTTGGGAGTGAGCAGGAGGGCAGCACAGGGGGCCAGCTGCTCCGGCACCTCCCAAAGGCTCTGAGTCTGTCCGGCTCCTGCTGCTCCTCCCCGTGCCTCAGTGCGCCTTACCGGGATGCGGTGAGGTGGCGGGGTTGCGGGGTGGCACGGGTGTCACCTCAGATGGCGTTCAGTGTCTCATGGCAGCAGCCAGAGCTGGGGTAGGGGTCATGGGCGCCCTCCACGTAGAGGGGAACTGTGGACGGCTCTCAGAGCCAGGGGTGACCGTCCTCAGAGCCTCCTCCTTCCTGTCCTCCCCTCTAGTCTGTCGTCTACTGCCACGGAGGGCGCGTCGGCTTCTTCCAGGGAGACATCCGTCTCCTCTCGGATGACATGAAGGCTCTGTGCCCCACCATCTTCCCGGTGGTCCCACGGCTGCTGAACCGGATGTACGACAAGGTGAGCCCCTCAGGGAGTCCCTGGCCAGGCTGAGGGGCTCGATATCTGCTTGTGTGGACGGGGCCTGGAGCCCCAGGCAGGTTTCCACGCCTCCGTCCCCAGGTCCTGCGAAAGGCTTCTTCTCGTACATTGTCTGACTCTTACCTGTTTTCTTCCTAGCTTCCAAAACTCTCGTTGGGGAGATTTTCTTCCAGGCATTTCTAGCCCCACAACATGCCCCCAGCTCGGTGGTGTTGACCTTTGGTTGATGTCACACGTTCACTGATCTCCCACAGCGGCACAGTGGAGTGTGGCTTCCCTGTGGGCCCGACTGGGCCTTCTTTCTGTCTAAAAGTGGGACATGCAGGCCCATAGCTCCTTCCACCTTCTGCTCCTCAGATCTTCAGCCAGGCGGACACACCATTAAAGCGCTGGCTTCTGGAGTTTGCAGCAAGGCGTAAACAGGCTGAGGTCCGGAGTGGAATCATCAGGAATGACAGTATCTGGGATGAATTCTTCTTTAATAAGGTTCAGGTAAGAGAAGGAACAAGTGGTTATAGAGTGACACCCAAGTGTCCAATGGGTCACCTGACAGAAGAAGTAGAGAAGTTCATCCCAGTGGCCAGTAATCTTATAAAATAATAACTCATTTGGTCATGAAATCAACGCTGTAAACTACTGCTGAAATCTTAAAGGACCCCTTTTTGTTATTTGGAGGGGGGGTTATATTTACCAAAAGGCAACCAGCAAGAAGGACTTCTGGAAAGGGGGCCCGCCGCCCTCCGTGGGCCGCGGGGCACCGTGCCTGCGGGGTCAGGCCCAGCAAGGAGCGCCTGGGCCTGAGGGCTCCCTTGCCCCTTTCTGTAGCCCTGGCCACGGTGGCTTCCCAGCAGCATTGGGCTCCAGACAGATGGCCAGGAGTCCTCCTTTGCCTTCCTGTGTCTTCTCCCTTCAGCCTCTCCCAAACCAGGCTGATGGTGAATTACTCACCTCTGGATCCCCACTAAAGCTTTCAAGGTCTGCGTCACCCAAGGAATGTGTAGTTAATTAGTATCATACTCGTTTTTTGTTACTCTACTTTTAGCTATGAAAATTAATATTTAAACTCTCTTGGCTCAACTTACAGAAACAACATATTTAAAGAATTCTTTGTCCTCTGCAGTGCATAGTAAATAGAGCAGATAGGGTATTGATTTGTAAATGAAAAAAGCCTAGGCCATTAGAGTGGAAGTGGGACGGAATTGTCCTAAGTAATTGTTTTTGGATGCTTGCAAATGATGGGAAGGTGAGGGAACAGCTGTGCGTGTTAAGGAAAGCATAACTAAAGTTATAGAAGGCCATGTAGGTTAATGGCACTTACCTCCAAAGAGGTAAAAGAGCTGGCCAATGCTGGGTTGAGTCTCACAGTTGATTGGGCTTGTTCCTTTGAAGGGGAAGGGACTTCCTCCACCGGGCTGTGCAGCCTCAGGCCTCTCTCTGACCCCTGCCTTAGGGTCCAGGTGGAGTCCGACTGTTGGGTGGTGACTGTGGCCAAGGCCCAGATGGGCTGGACGCCACCCCCAGCAGCACAGACTGGGGCAGGTGCTTCTCTCTCCCCACAGGCCAGCCTGGGGGGGTGTGTGCGGATGATTGTGACTGGAGCAGCCCCCGCGTCACCCACAGTCCTGGGATTCCTCCGGGCGGCTCTGGGATGCCAGGTATTACTTCCCGCAGCCTTCCCTGGGGCAGCGCAATGTGTGTTAGGACGGGGCGGAAACATCTTACGGCCGCCACTGCAGAGAGAGAGGTCCGGGGCCACGGTTTTAGCGGGGTGAAGCTCACTTCCTCTGGGGATGGAAAAGCCCCGGTGCCATCGAAAGCCAAGATGACCTTCCGACGTTCGGGGAGGGCCAGGGGCACCCACCTCGGGAAAGGGGTCCGACAGACTGCGTGAGGGTCACTGCCGTGCTGGGGAATCCGTGCCACACCCGTAACAGCTCCTCTGCAGCCTCCGCCTGCAAAACACCGCCCAGCCCGGCAAAGGAGCCCAAGGGAGGGGATGACAAAAGCCCATTTGAATTTTGTCATTTGATCTAAAAAATCCATTCCTTCATTACCCATTCAATTACTATTTATTAAGTTTCTGCATATGCGGGGTACAGTAACACAGCTGTGGCTGATGGATAATAAGTAAAGCAGACACAACTGTTTCATCAATATTCATGCTTAAATTTTCATACTTACCAAGTCAGTGGTCTCTTCTACCCCCACACCGCCCGGCCACTGCTAAGGGCAGACTCTCCCACGTGGCATATCCCTGCAAGCACATGAGGCGGGGGAGGGGAGTTTCTTACAGGGACAAAACAAACCATGCAGTAGATGTTGAAGTGTTTGTCTTTAATACATATTATCTGAATGAAAGATAGAGGCTGTAGTTGAAAATAGGTCAGAATTCTTTACCCCAAACCACACAACCTCATCTACTAAGTGGGGCAAAAGTGGCACTTCTTCCAAGCAAAGTAACAACACCTGTTACCTGTGTTGGGCTTCAGCTGGAGCTCCCTACCTCCGCGGCACCCCCTTCCCTCTGTGCCCGGCATGCTGGGCGAGAGCTGAGCTGGCTGAGGGGCAGCCGGCTCGCTGCCGGGGCAGGCGAGCCAACAGTGTGGTTTCCGTGTTTTGCTCGAAGGTTTATGAAGGATATGGCCAAACGGAGTGCACAGCTGGATGCACCTTCACCACGCCTGGGGACTGGACCTCAGGTAGGATGGACAGGGGATGTCGGTGGTTCACCAGGCACTGCCGAGGTAACAGCTGCCAAACTCCTCGCGGAAAGGAACGTTACGAGGGCGCTTCAGAAAAACAACAGAGTAGAAAAACACTGATGGCGGTTATACTAGGTCGTAGCATTATGGATCTGTTGTTCTCTTTGTTATATATTTTTGTATTTTCCTACCTTTTTTTGCATGTCCCCATTTCTTTTCTAGATAAATAGTCATCATATTTTAAAAAAAGAAGTAATGGACAATATAGCTGCAGGTAGAAAATGATTCTATCAGTAAGTATCAGCTACTAGATTTCACAGATTCTGAACACCAACGCAGCCTTGCTTGTTGTCATTTTAGAACGAAGGGATCAGGCTACAAACTGGAGGTTATTCAGGAAGGGGAGGCAACTTCCTAGTGGCCAGAGCACTATTTCTTAAGGGGCCATTGCTAAGGCCCTTTGGGAGTTACAGTGTCCTGTGACGTCAGTGTCTAGAAGGCAGTGGCAGCCTCGGGAAGGAGCAGCTCCCACCCACGCCCTCCTTCTGAGGAGACCCGTCTTTCAGGGCAAGGAGGAGGCAGCAGGTAGCCCCTGTGTTGTCCATTACAAATGTAGACCAGAGACTGGGAGAATCTGAAAACCATTCAGCAAAAGAACCCTTTAGGGCACCCACCTCCCCTGTGAGCCCAGGACCCTCTCATGCTTCTGGGTTGCTCAGCTGCAAACCAGGAGGCCTGGGAGAGCGTGTGTGCACAGGACATGTGCCCAGGAATGCAGTCCTATCGGCCAGGCGCCCTGAGGTGGTTGGCAGAAACATGAAAGGCAGATTCCATTCGAAATCACATTTGGCCAAGTCAAGTACAGAAGCCTTTTTTTTTTCCTGAGTTTTATGTTATAAAGCCTCTGGTGTATACGTAAATTCTTGGGCCTTTCTTATGCTGGCAAGCACACTATGAGGACTGTCTCCTGAGGTCCTGGGTCGCTAACTTGTCTCTCCTTCCTGCTGCCATGGTTACCCACCACTCCAGCGTACCCTCCTCCTTTTGGACACTTTTATCCCTCTCATGTAATTCTGTACATCTTCCTGTGTAAGACTTTTGAGGCTTTGCCTTACCATAAAAACTTGCAAAGGCTATTGAGTATGTGAAGATAGGTATCTTTGTATGAGTTGTGGAAGATTTTTCAACCTCTCGTTTAAAATAGAAACCAAAGTGTCACCGCTATTTTTTTTTTTAATCTCCTTGCCTCTGTCCCTCACTTTTCTTTCAGGACCTTGGCCAGCACCAGGTTAAAACTCCACCATCTTGCCAGTGAATTCTGTAACAACCACAAAAAAATTACTAGAAAATGACTTGAGTGTAATTTTGTGGTTGGAGGGTATAAGACCCAGAACATTTGAAGTCTTGTTTTGCAGGGCGAGTTACCTCATTCTGTTTTCCATTCCTTCATTACTCGAAGTGTGGTGGGTGGACCAGAAACGCTAACCCCTGGTGCCTGTAAAAAAAATGCAGACGCTTAGGGCCCACCCCAGACCTACCGAATCAGAGTCTGCATTTTGACAAGCGTTCTAGGTGATCACGTGTACATTCATCAACAGTCTGGTGACTGGAGCAAAAGCAACGATGACTATATTTTATGAACCCCAAACCAAGGCATGTGATCTGACAATGGGGAAAATCTCTTAATATGGGCACAATTGTAAAAATAAATAAATAAATAAATAAAGACCTTCCCTGACAGGCATGGCTCAGTTGGTTGGATGTTGTCCAGTAAATCAAAGGTTGTGGGTTTGATTCCCAGTCAAGGCACATGCCTGGGTTATAGATGTGGTCTCTGGTCAGGGCGCATACGAGAGGCAACTAATCGCTGTTTCTCAGTCACATCGACATTCCTCACCCTCTCTCTCTCCCCCTCCCTTGCCCTCTCTCTAAAATAAATAAATCCTTAAACATAAAATGAAAAATAAAAAACGATCATATACCTTGGCCAGTGTGGCTTAGTTGTTTGGAGTGTCATCGCATAAACTGAAAGGTTGTGGGTTCAATTCCCAGTCAGAGCACATGCCTAGGTTGTCAGTTCGGTCCCTGGCAGGCGTGCATATGAGAGGCAGCCAATTGCTCTTTCTCTCTCACTTTGATGTTTCTTTCCCTCTCTCTTTCCCTCCCTTCCCTTCTCCCTAAAATCAATAGGCGTGTGTTCGGGTGAGGTAAAAAAATATCCTGACCGTGCGGCTGGTGCGGGTATGAACCCCATGCAGACCCTGTGCGGGTTGGTGCGAGGCCAGGTGTGCCTGTGCAGCTCTTTAACAATCTGACGTAAAACAAAGGCCCACAGAGGCTGGCCTCTCCGTTCTCCAGAACTTTATCGTCAGCACTTGCCTATAATAAATGTCCACCTAAAGGTGTCTTGCTTCTCATCCATAATTCCCAACTTGGACCACTTGGGGGCTTTGACGTGGCATGGAGCATCTTCAGTGCTGAAACCGGCCGGAACACTGACCGATGCCATGTTGCTCCGTGTTCCAGGGCACGTAGGGGCGCCTCTGCCCTGCAATCACATCAAGCTCATCGACGTCGAGGAGCTGAACTATTGGGCCAGCAAGGGAGAAGGAGAGGTAGGCTTCAGCATTAGCTGTTCACGCCTGTGGGTGCTACATGTAGTGAGTAAAACAAAAAAATGAAATTATCCTCCTTTTACCCTTTGTGTAAAGTCACTTTAAACTCCTGATTAGTTTGACTCAACTGAATTCAGTATTTCCTCCCCTGTTTATGAGACAAGGCTGGGGCTGAACTGGTCTAAACTGAGAACTGGAATTTCCAAACTTAAAAAAAAAAATTCTGTTTTTCCCCTCAGTGGCATGGCCTGCTGCTGCGGCTCTGTCCCCACAGAAACATGACCGATTGCGGATAGGCCTGGCAGGGCAGGGGCAGCTGGCTGTCCTCATTCAGTCCCTGGGAGTGGGTGGCCCCTTGGTCGTGAGCTGGGGCCGAGGCATCTGGCAGAGTCAGCCAGCTGTCAAGATATGATATGGCCGCATCAGCGCCACAGAGGAGCACAGGACGAAGGCGGGGGTTCCCGAGGAAGGAGAGGCGGTGGAGGGAGGCCTGCGGTGGCCAGGGCGGAGGGGGGGGATGGAGAGGGCGCTGCCTGAGCGAAGGCAGGCGACAGCGCAGGCCTCTGCTGGCTGTTCTTGTCCTCTGTTGTCACCGCAGCCGTCTCCACAGAGGGTTTCCTGAGGGACAGCGCAGTGTTCGGCACTGGCCTTGTGACAGCCTCACTCAGGAATCCGTGTGCCACGGGCTGAGGGAAACGGTGTTTGTCCCCACAGATATGTGTGAGAGGACCAAATGTGTTCAAGGGTTACTTGAAAGATCCAGACAAGACGAAGGAGGCCCTGGACAGCGACGGCTGGCTCCACACAGGAGACATTGGGCGGTGGCTGCCGGTGCGTATGTTTGCAGCCCTGGGGTGCCAGCGTTCAGGCGGTGGGTGTAAGTCTGAGTCCTCCGAGGCGGGGGCCCTTTCCGTGTGACCCCCGACCTTTCAGGAGCACTCCAGGGGCTGGGACGTTCTTCTTTGCCTCGCTCCACAGCTGCGGTAGGGAGGCAGGGGTCGCGGTCTTTGTGGGAGGGCGGAGCTGGGGTAGGGGACCCACTCCCTACCCTTTGTGGCTTCCAGAAAGAGCCCTGTGCAATCTGATGGGTGGGCTACAAGCACAGGAGCTCATAGCTGTGGGAGATCTGAGACAGGCCGGGGCTGGGAGCCCACAGGCGCTGGCCCCCGCTGAGAGGTGGCGCTGGGTGGTACGAAGAGCTTGGAGCAGGGCCGGAAGACGGCTGAGTCCCTTTGGCTCTGGCAGCGGTGGCTCTCCTGACTGTGGGCAAAGCCTCGTCCCTCCGCGGGCCTCTGTGTTGACTCACTTGCAGAATAAGAGTGAGGATGCATGAACTTCTTTGGCTGTGGCCTCCACTTTGAGCCCAAATCAGTTATTGTGCCTTATTCTGTCATCTGTAAAATGGGGATAATGCCATGGTTTACCTGTACAGTTATTAGTGTGAGGGATAAGTGAGGTTATACCTGTAAAGCACTTGGCACAATCCTGGCACACAGGAGAAGCTGTGAGCAGGAGAGGTCTCTGTCACTGGAAGCGAGAGCCCTTGCAGGACTCAGCTTGCCCCAGGAGCCTGTCCTGTGTCTCCAGGAAGGAGCTAAGGTTTGGGGGGTTGTTCTGAGATGCTGTGTTCCTGGTCACGTGAGAGGCGCTGAACTGTCTCCTGGGCCAGCGAGCTGTGTGCCGCTGCCCGGGTTTGCATGCCTCCCTTGGAGGAAGGCTCATTCCTGCAGCAGCCACGGTGTGTCCTTGGTGTGTGCCCTGGGCCAGGGACTCTCTCGGGGGGTGGGGGGTGGGAGGAGACACGTCTTTAGACAGTTCCCAACCCAGTGTGGTGGGCTGGGACTGAAGGCCACACCCACCTGGGGGTGGCAGAGGGGGACAGGGGCCTACTGGGCCTGCGTCCCAGGGACTAGTCCTGCTCTGAGTGAGAGGAGAGAGTGGGAAGGACGCGCGGGGCAGCGGTAGTAGCCCGTGCTCGGGGAAGAGACACGAGACGTGTGAGGCGAGCCGGTCTGCCCGCAGACCCACAGGTATGGAGGAGGCCGCGGGCCCTGGGCGCTGACAGGGTGGATTGTCCCATCAGCTAAGGAAGCTTAGGCTTCGGGGCCCCTCACTTGCATGGGCCCTCTCCAAGGTCCTGTACTTCATTTCCTATTATTTTTCTCAAAGAAGACCCTCAAAACTGGGAAACACTTAAAGCCGCACAAAATCTTGGCCCTGCCACTGCTGCCCCGTGACTGGGAGAAACCACCTACCTTGCAGGGTGTTGGGAGAAGCAAGTAAATTCATTCATGTGAAGCACGTAGTGTTGTGCCTGAACTCAGAGCCCAAGACCTTAGGCAGGCGGTCTGTGGGAGTCAATTATTTGAAATTATTGTTTTGAAATAGTATTATGTAGAGAGATCAAGGAAAAGGTATAAGTTTCTGATCCAGAAAGACCTAATTCAAATCCTGATTCTGCTACCTCCTAGCTGTGTGGCTTTGGAGGAGTTAAGTAACCTCTCTGGTCCTCCTTTCCCTCGTCTGTGCAGCGGAGGTGATGACGCCCAGATGGTGGGTGCCCTGAGTACCAAATGAGCCCGTGTGGGGAAAGCACGGCGTCCAGTCTGGGTTTGGAGCAGAACAGGGCCTGCTTGTTTCCCCTTCCGAAGAGAGGGCTCTGGTTCTGGTGGCCCAAACAGATGGAGCGGGGACGGAGTGTATGCAGAGGTCCGGTCAGGTTTTCATAGAAGCTTGTGAGCGAGGGCCTGACCAGTTGAAGTCCCAGGGAGGCAAGAGCAAGGCCATCTCCAGTTTCGGGACCTGGGGACTGGTCGGGCATGTGCGGGGCAGGGAGGAGCGTCCCGTTGGGGACGCTGCATCTGCGAGCTGCCTAGTTCTGAAGTGTCCTGGGGATAGCTGAGTTCTGGGGCTACACTCGGTCAAGAGGCCTGGCTGGACGCTTAGGCAGACGTGGCAGTGGCTAACAGCAGTCACCTCGAGGAGCATCGTCAGCGGAGGTGAGGCATGTGCCCCATTCAAGGGTTGAGCCGAAGGAGAGGCCCGCTTAGGAAACGCAGAAAAGGAGGCAGGGAGGTGAGGGGTGGCCCCGGAGGCCAGGAGTGTGAGCATGCGCTGCCCAAGGGGTGGCGCGCCTGCCTCGGAGGTGCTGGCCACCTGGCCCGTCAGGTAGCAGGCCCTGGGGCCTGTGCCAGAGCCGCACAGCGAGCTGCAGGTGGGGAGGCCGCACCCTGGGAACGGGGCAGTAGCTGGGACGGGAGAGCTAAGCAAGGCTTAAGGCAGCGGCTCTGAGGGATGCTGTGAGCGAAGGGCAGCTGGAACGAGGGCCGAGCAAGGGGGAGGCCTGGTGGGAAGGCAGGTGGGCTTCTGAGGAGGAGGGTGGCAGGAGTGGGAGGGACAAGGGAAGGAGAAATTCTGAGAAGAAGGGACAGTGGGCACTCAAGGCCCAGCAAAGTTGGGGAGCCATTGACCTGCAGTGCTCGGTGGCCGTGGCAGAGCAGAGATATCAGACGCAGGAGCGGGGCTGGGTGGAGCCTGCAGGGTGGGGCAGGACAGGAGCGAGTGGCTGTGGCACGAAGGAGTGAGGGGTTCGGGCTCAGGGGATGCGACTTTGATGAAGCTGTCCAACTCTGCAGGCGGGGACTCTTAAAATTATTGATCGGAAGAAGCACATATTTAAACTTGCTCAGGGAGAATATATTGCTCCTGAGAAGATTGAGAACATCTACATCCGGAGTGAGCCCGTGGCACAGACTTTTGTGCACGGGGACAGCTTACAGGTGAGTGCCCTGCCTTCAGCCCACCCCCCTCCGCCCCCCTCCCCCCATGTGGCCTGCTGGAGAGTGTAGTTATCTCAGGATGGCTTCCTACGTATTCAGTAATTGATTAAAGCGATAAACATTAATTTCGTATCAGACACCAGTATTCCCCTATATATTAGACTATGAGAGAAAATTCCTTTTTAAGGGAGAAATCTTAATTGCTTAGGGTTTGATAAAATGCATTTAAGTAGTAAGTTGCTTGAAGTAGTAGTAAGAGACACTAGCACTACTTTTAACTTTCTGCGTTTAATAATTTTTCAAATTTTCAACTAGAGTTGACATATAATATTAATTAGTTTCAGGTGTACCACCCACTGATTTGATATTTACATAACTTACAAAGTGATTACCCCAGTAAGTCTAGTGTCCATCTGTTGTCATACATAGTTACTACAGTATTATTGACTGTATTCCCTATGCTGTCCCCGCTCCTTATGGATGCTACTTGAACTAATGCTCTACCTACTTCCAAGAGGAATATTGAAGTAAGATGCTGAGGCAAGATTCAGGGTTTCTACTGTTTAGACTTTGAAATATGCAAATAACCTTTACAGATAAATAGGTATAATATTGCAAGTAATGGCACTGATGATGATATAGCTTAATATATTAAACTAATAGGTTAATTTATATGGTTTAGGATTAAATTATTTGGAGAGGGTTTATTTTTATTCTGCTTTCAACATCATTTAGATTTGAAGTCAGAAATATCACTGTGAATACAGTCTTTGCATTCATTGGATTTCTATAATTAAATATTATGGCATTATCTTTCATAACTTAATGAACCATATTAAGGAAATGGAGGACCATATTAATTAACAGTTTTAAAATGGTCAGGAAGTCCTGAGAAATACATATTTTGGTTCAGAGAGTTGATGGTTAGCATCCTGACGAGGTACACATTTGAGGTTAGCGTGAGAATCAAAGATGCATGTAGGTCTAACTTCACTGATTCTTCATCTCCTTAAGTTTATTCCTTACGAATTTTTTTACAAAGTTAGGAAAAATAGATCAGAAAATAAACCATCAAGAATGTGTGATGTATTGATGGAAATGTTTCATAACAGAAGACATACACTTATTTTTAGAAAAGGGTGGCATCTGAGAAATACCGAGAGATTATTTTTGGAGCTAGACCACAAATAACCACTTTAAAAGCTTTTGTCAGTAATATAATATTGTATGCCAACTATACTTCAATAAATTTAAGGAAAAAATATGAGGGCTTTTGTGACTTAAAAAAAGCTTTTGTCAATTTTGGTAAAATTGTTTTATCTTGCTGGTTGATGTATCTTGTAATACTAGTATCTTAATTCTGTATCTATATCAAAATTTTTATAATGTCCTTAGGAAAAATATTGAAATAAATATGGCAGAGTAGGAACGACTGCGTTTTCATGACTTGCTTTTCTTTGGTGGGATTGCAGACCTTTCTGGTGGGCATCGTTGTGCCCGACCCGGAAGTCATCCCCTCCTGGGCACAGAAGAGGGGAATCGAAGGCACATATGCAGAGCTCTGTGCAAACAAGGTCTGTACCGCGGGGCTGTTTCTGAAGGTTGCTGGATCTTTTATGATGCTGCGTAATGGAAAGAGAGAGAAGCAGTAGACGGGCAAAACCGGAGCATGCAGGGAAATTTCTAACTTCATAAATGGTGGGAGTCCTAAATCAGAAGCTCGTCTCTCTTTGTTGTTGAAGGAACTCACTCTTCTTCTTAGAAAGTTGGGTGAATGATTGAATTTTAGAGCCAGGAGCCGTCACAGGAAGCTTGTCCAGCCCTCTCGTTCTGCACCTCACAGCAGGGTCCAGAGAGGGTGGCAGCCTGCCCACGGCCACACAGCCGGCTGGCAGAGGGGTCAGATGTGCGCATAGGCCCTCTGGCTCGCTGGCCTGCTCTCCCCAAGTGTGAGGTGGATTTTGTATCTATCTCCTGGGCTTAGAGAGATGGTCGTGGAATTGAAAAAGTAGCACATTTCTTCCTGCTTAGAGCGTTAGGCCCTCACACCTTGCAGGAGCCTCATGCTACAGCGAGGGCGCCGTGGAAGAGGGTCTCTGCGTGCTGGCTCAGCATCGGCCCCTCCAGTCGCACGCCTGTTTCTCAGCTGCGACCACAGAGCCTCTCGCTTCCTCTAGGCCCTGGGCTCTTCTGGGGGTGACAGGGCCCCTGGGACTCGCCAGGCTGACCAGAGGGCCACTTACAAACATCAGGTGGTTGGCTTGGGGTGATGAACACACCATACAATATATACCTGAAACCTTTATAATTTTATTAACCAATGTCATCCCAATAAATTCAATATAAAATAAAATCAAGTGGTCCCTTAGCCTGTCACTCCTTCGGGCATGCCCATTACTGAGCTTGCCAGATGAGAGGTATGCTCCCAGGGAGTGTCCGCCCCCGTTGGGGGGTGGAGGGGGTAGTGTGTTGCTGTGAAGTGTGTTTTTGGTTTTGTAATTTTGCCTATATGGTTCAATTCAGGAGCTGAAGAAAGCCATTTTGGAAGATATGGTGAGGTTAGGAAAAGAAAGCGGACTCCATTCTTTTGAACAGGTAACTATAGCCTTCCCTACAGTTGTTACAGCCCTTTGAAAAGAGATGAAAATTAAGCTAAGCCACAGTGACCCCGACCTCGACCGCCCCCCGCCCCAGTGCTGTGGCCGGCAGGCAGGCTTTGCACCCGTGCAGCCCCGAAGGCCTGTTCCAGGCTCACCGCCACAGCCTATGTCCTGGACTAAAATGGGTCATAGATCGAGCGAGGCTGCCCGCTGTCCTCAGAGTCACAGTCATGCAGAAAGCTGAAACACGACCTCAGCCGTCCCTGCTGGGTCACGTGGGCACGGTCTGTCCCCAAGCTGCCTGCCCCGTCCAGACCAGGGCCTGGTCTTATTTTTATTTTCATGGGGACACTCTTCTTGGCTGCAGCAGGCAAGCTTACTTGGTAGGACCTGGGAAAAACTGGGCTCCACGGGCCAATGACGTGTTAGCACAGCACGCCTTCTGCAAGGAGGGAGGGACAAGGAGTAGGCTGGGAGGGGACCGGCAGTTCTCTCAGGCCTTTGTCTGTGCGAGCTTGCGGTTCCTACCGTAGCTGAATTCAAAAGCATGCTCGATCCTACTTACATGTACCATTTATACATCCTCTTTAGTCAAAAATACAAGAAGAAAAATTCATCAAGCAGGAAAATACATTGATTTTTTAAATTTTTCTACTATGTAATTAATATGACTGTTTTTCATAAAATTTTCTTTCTCCAATAGGGTCGCCAAATACAATATGAGGAATCTGTATGTTCATTTTGATGATAACCTAAAACATTTTTAAACCAGTTTTAAATATAAAGCTCTTAGATCAGTTACTTGAAACTAAGAAACATTTCCACAGTTTAAGAATTTTTTTTTTTAAGTTTCAAACTGAGGAAATCTAAACATAGTTTCAGGGTGTGAGAAAATTGTTTTTCTTTTGAAATAGATCTTTACATTAACCTACTTTAAGAAACACTGCTTTGCTCTCATCTGACAGCATGTTTTAGGGCAAATAAGGCCTGGATGAGTAAGTCTCCATAAAATTATAAAAGTAGAAATTGTAAAATCTGAGGCACTCAGGCAAGTTATATTTATCTTTCTGAATGAGTCAATTCTGGCATAATAGTTACTTAAATTTCTAAATTCGGTACAACTGACATCATTGCCCTTCCATAAGGGAAGCTGTTGACCGGATGATACGATCACATTAAGCAGGGGCCGCAGGTGGGTGGACGGCCTGGCTGGTCCTCCCTGCGTGCTCATCGAAGGCTCTGAGGGCACTGGGCGTGCTCCGGGCCTGGGCCCAGGTTTGCTGAAGTGATGAGTTTCTGTGATTCCTAAAGCCGGCACGCCCCCTGCTGGGCTTGGGATGTATGACTTGCCCCAGGGCCCATGGAGAAAGATAACATCTAGAATCGCCCTCCTGGAAAAAGACCACCAACTCTTAGGATTAGGCTTAAAACGTACCTTTGGCTACGTTTCGTTTTAACCATTGGGCGAGCTAGAGCTTTCGCTGAGAGGAATTGTGTTCTTGACTTTCCATAAGCCTTAAGCAGAGTTCCTGCTCTAATGATCTGCCCTCGCCATGGTAACGTCAAACACAGAGAAGCCATGTGACGTCCCTAAGGCCTGTTACTGCCAAGACTGTCACCCCCCTGTTGGTCCGTGGCATCCTCCCTGCCACAGCCAGCGTGTGCCCTCGGCCGACCACAGGAGAACACAAACCAGGCCTCACGCCTGAGGAGGGTCCGCTGCTGTTGCAAAGGTCAACAGAAACTGAGTGAATCCATAACCCATCGCCATCCCATCCTTTTCCTTATTCCTCAAATACGCAGGAGCAATTAAGGCTTAACACTAGCTTTTGAAGAAACACACACACATAGATACCCAAGCCCAAAGCATAAATCATTCAACAAAAGCTTCAAGAGTACAGGTTTATTGGGCAAGGTTGATATGAATTAAACTTTGAATTAGATTTTTAAAAATTAATGTAATTTAATTTATAGAAACAGACAATTCCTGGAACCAAGCCAACAATTATTAATTTATGGAGATCTTTGGAAGATATATTTTAATGAGTAGAAAGAAAGCATTTAAAGTAAATACCAATAACTTTAAAACTTAGGTACCTGGGGAGTATTTGAGCATACTTAACTGTGATTTTACCATTTTCTTGACTTTTATATGCTTTACTAGTTGGCATAAGCAATTCAAAGTGAACTTGGACACTTAATAGATTTTTCAAATTCTGACTGGGAAGCCTTCATTAAAAATATTTTATTGTATTTCCTGTTCATTGAAATGAATACTTACCTAATCAATAAGCCTTTAAGTTAGAAATGAATTGAACATTTTCCTAATTAATTTAAATGTTGTTTTCCACTTTATTCTTCTGTCCTAATCACCATGTTTATTACCTACAAGCAATATTGCATGTTAAAAGTATTTCATTAAGTAATACCATTGAAAAATTTTAAATACTGTGTTTCTTCAAAATTAAGAAAAGTGTGTTCTAATGAGTTAGCATAAATTGACACTTTTCAGGTATCTTATTCCAATACAATATTTAAATGGTACATTACTTCTAAATTTTAAAATGCCTGTAGAACCACTTTTCAGTGACAAGAGTATAGTTTCAGAGCAAAGGCTAACGATGTGTATCCTCTCTTTCCTGAACAAAACACATGCTTATTACATTCACTGCGTTTCATTTCTGTATCAGGCATAAAGGGAGATTATACTCCTTTTTCACACTTGACAGTTTAGTTGTATTAGAAAATATATAATTATTTATAAAAAATGAAAATTGGTTTTACCATTGGTTTACTTCTTCAAAAACTATAGCTTGGTGACCCACAGCTAAAGACAGTGCTGGACAGCTTGTGCGACCCATCTCTTTCCCACTTATTGACTAGGCTTTAGTTGTTGGAGCAGCTTGTCTAGGTGTTTTCATGGGAGAATTCGCATAGACCCAGGGCTGTAGTCGGACTGGAGCAGGGGCGCCCCTCTGATCGCTCCCTGAGGGGCTGAGAGCTGAGCGGAGGGCCGTGCGGCCTGGTGACGCTCACACAGGGCCTCCTTGGGGAGTCAGCCTGAACTGCAGACGCCCCACCACCCCTTTGCGCTTGCTGCAGGGAGCAGGTCTGCTGGACATTCAGAATCTACCCGCGGATGCCGTCCGTTCTTCCTAAGGTCACGCTGTTTTCTTTCACCTGCTGCATACCATCTAAATAGCGCCGTGTAGCTCTCCCTATGAAACCTCTCTTCCCTGAACTGTATTGCTTTCAGCTTCTGCTTCTCACTGCTGGAGTTTCAAGGCTGCCGGCCCCCAGCGCGTACTGAATACAGACTCTTGTCCCAGTTACACGGCGTTCTCCACGTGCTGCTGGGAGGCAGAGGGGCTGGAGCCAGGCTGCCGGGGCACCGTGGAGATCACATCTTGGCATTCGCATCTCCTTCTAAAATTATATAATTAATTCCACTTACAAAAGGAGGTGGTTAGCTGGTTTGCACTTGCCAAGCGCCTTTATGTGATACTGTTTCTATCAGAAGGGCACTTTGTTAAAAGTTGAGGACATTTGCACTGTCAGTTTTTCAATTTTTCATTTCACGATGATGAGCTCGAGTTAGGAAGTTAAATCAGTGCATGTAGGATTAAGTTTAAGTTAAATCGTGTGCATGTTTTCTTCAGGCTAACTGGTTTTGTCATCAAATGGTGATCCCCAAACTTGTTTAAATGGCAGAACTCAGATGACACCTCGCATGAAAGTGAAGCATGTGCCAAACCTAAGAGCCACGGTGTTCCGGGGGTTCTGGGCTTGAGCCGGAGCCTCTCTTCCCCGCTCCTTCCTGCCAAGCCCCTCATTTCATCCCTCCCCCACCTGCTCCCACACCTCTGCCTCTCCCCCACCTCACCCCACCCCTGCCTACCTCCACCCACCTCAGCACTGGCCTCATCAGAACCCCTACTTCTCAGTGCACTGTAGTCTGGAAACAGCTTCCTCGCAACCTGCTTCCAGTGAATTTGGGGTCCCCTAGGGTGGTTTGTGTTTGATAAAAACAAATTAGGAAAAAAGTACTCCAGAGAGTCCAGAAAACACCTATTCCCTATCAACACCTTGCCTCTCTGAACCTTGACTCATTTTGAAACATTTGATAATAACCCCTTTTAGCCCAGATTTCCAGCTATTTATGTTGGGTATCCAAATAGAAACCATTTTACTGTGTGAAGTCAAGTTGAGGCAGCTGCCTGGAAGGCTAGCTCTCGTTTTAGCCGAAGTCCTCTCCTGCAACCCCCTGCGCATGAAACCCTGAAAACGCTATTCTTTGTAGAAAAAGTGAATCCTCCATTTGAACAAATTTATAAGAGAGAAAGATGAATCTGATTTATTAATGCTGTGTTCATTGGAAAACTTTCACATTTTTAAATTACAAGCATGGGTAAAAAAGCCAAGATTTGTTAAAAATTAAAGCTTTTTAAGAAGTTGGAAGTATAGCTGTTTTAGAGGTGATCTTTGTATATTGAGTTTTTGATCTGAAAAATCGGTGAATGCAATAGTTTTCTGAGCAAAGAATTCTTTGTCATCTCAGAATACCCACCTGTCAGGGCACTAGACTATTAGCATCAGAGATTTTGAAAACTATCAACAATATTCTGAATTTTTGCAACCATTTGCATACATTGGGTTTTTTCCAATTTTTTATTGTGGTAAAATACAAGTAAGATAAAATTTATCATTTTGACCAGCTTTAAGTGTACAGTTGAGTGGTGTTAGATGCATTTGTAATATTGTACAATCATCTGTCTCCATAATTCTTTTCATCTTGTAAAACTGAAACCATGTAGTGTCATTAAACAATAACTCCCAGTTCCGCACCGCCCCCTCCCAGCCACTGGCAGCCACCATTTTACTTTCTGTCTCTGTGACTTTGACCACTACCAGTACTCATGTAAGTGGAATCATACAGTATTTGTCTTTTGGTGACTGGCTTATTTCACTCAGCTTAATGTCCTCAAGATTCATCCA